TCCAAAATTGATTGGACCTAGGGTATAACACTTACACCATCTTGATGACAATTTTTGGGGCGTAAATGGGGCAGCGATTAAAAAACCCTCCATTTAGTTAATTAATTAATTGATTTTTATTTTTTATTTATTTAATTATGATTTAAGTTGAAAAACCTAAAGGACAATCACGTTCCTCTTACTCGCCCCATTTGGGATGGGGCAGGATGACAAAGTTTGCCAACTCTAGAATCCCAATTTTAAAATTCATGTATAGACGAAGAAGGAAAAAAAAATGCCAAAATCACTTGAAAATCTCGACCTAGTGTACATTCAACTATTGCATCATCATACCATATCGCTCAATGCATCCTCTAGTATGTAATATTTTTTGTGCACCAATAGCTAGGAACACGTAAGGTCTCGTCTGTTGTGGAAAAATGAGAACTTTGTGTGTAGATATTAAGTTAATAAACGACAATATGAATAACAAGAGTCAATAACAAATAAAATATAAATCAAAACTAAAGAAGAGAGTTAGAAAGTAAACCTTAGAAATTAACGTAAAGAACATTGTCCTAAAGTCGTGTTGCCTCACTTTCTAAACTACACGACTATAAGACAAAACAGATATTGCTTACATTCGGTTCTCCTTCTACGAGCACCACGGGAAGATAAAAAACAAAGCTTTATCAAGTTGCCAAAATTATAAAATATAAATGTATAGGAAATATTTCCAAGTGTTTTCAAGTTATATCCAAACTATAAAATCTCCTCCCTTTTATAGTGTAAAGATTTACACTATTATAATTTAATATTTAATCTAAAATTTAAAACTAACACAAAACTGAAAAGTAAAATGAAAGGGGAAAATTAAATCAAATTTTATTTTGAAAGTTTAAAGCTTTTAAAACAGTTACAACAATCCCCCACAAGGTTTATATATATATAATCAAATATTTAGCAATTTTAATAAAATTTGATGTAATGTGTAGTTGAAAAATTGTGAATCCTATAAAATATGTGGTTTAAATTAATTGATGACTTAGACTTAGATTTTAATAAGATTTTTTAATAGTACCAAGTAGGGACATATAGTAGTAAAATTATACTATGTCATAGGTGTAGGTGTCTCAGAACTTGAACTTCATTTATTAATAACAATTTCTATTTGAGGGAATCAAAAATGATTATGTTAATAGACATGCGCTCTTATCTTGATTCTAGTAAAAGTCTCTAGGGAATAGTACATCGCATAGCCACGGCCTCATCGAGATTGTCACATAGGTGAGTCTTCCAAAGTTGTGTGATCCACGCCTCCCGAAAATTTTCGTCTCGATAATCATTCAAGGTAAAAAAAAAAAAAATCCCTTCCTAATATTACAATTATTAGCATTATCACCATAGGGTTACACAAATAGTATAGTGCTATTACGAGTCTGCAGTGCTGGTTATTTTTACCTTCTTTGTGGGAGATCCAATCATAAATGTTGTGTTACTCCCAAAGATGAATCCCTTGTGGGCTTAAACTCATTCTCTCGATGATTTATTTATTTCCAGGATGGATTACAATTTGTTCATACCCATTAGAACAAATAATTTAGTACCATTAATTATGCAACTATAGTCATCCATCTCTTATTCTCTACACAGAGAGCTGTAAATTTTGCATGTCTGCATATTCTTCTTAAATACATTCAAAAAATATTATTTTCGTGATATAAATAGTAAACACATGAACAAATTGTTATATATTTTCAATGTTAATTTTAGTTTCACCTTTTATCAAATAGATCAATTACACTTCACCTACAATATTCAAATTTAATATGAACACTTTACTCAAATACATCAATTTCATGATAATTACGAATAATCATGTATAAAGTACACAAATATATCCAAAATTTTTAATACCCCACAAGAATTGCATAGCAGCAAGCAAAACATGAAATACTGTAATAAATAGCACCATAATAACACAACCGTTTTATCTCTTTCGACAGGACCATACATTGCGAGGAGATGGTTGATGCATATGTTTATTGTTCGGATGAAACTCGCAAGCGTACGTGATTGTTGAAAAATAATAATGTAGTGAGTTAAGTTATCGTCTCACGAGAAATAAATTCTAATTATAGTGTATAGTTTTTATCAAATTCTAACTAAGCGACGCAAAAGAGATGTATGTTTTGTTATTATCCTAAGTTATGCTATGAACTATGTAAAATG